TTAGTCAAGGTGTACCAAATCTTTTCTAAAAGAACTTGACAAATGTGACACTCTAAGACTTATTAAGCCAGCAATAGATGTGGAACTCCCTTTTTTAAGAAAACGAAAGAACCATACTAATTAAAGATGGCATTCGCTTTTTGCATGCACGCACAATCAGATCATCATTGACATTTTTCCGCAACGAGTGTTGTGCCAAATATATAGATGTCTTTTTTTTATTCATATGGATTGTCCCTATTACGATCAGCTTTATTGCATTAGCTTTTATTGTTTCTTCTTTATTTTTTTCTTTTCTATTCAAATTATATGAGAATCCGCTTTTTTTTTTCTTTTTATTTTCATTTTTTTATTTCTCTTTTGTGGTGATCCACCTACTGTTGTTACTGATGACAGCATAAAACAATATTAAAATTAAATCTCATTTCATCACCCCATACATTATTACATCACAACACGAACTTATCTCTTGTGCATTATATCATATCCAACTACAAGCACTATTTTAGTGCTGTGTAACTTATCCATCAAAATAGATTCATAATCCGATTTTTCTTAACATATATAAATATGCAAACTCATAGTTAGAATAGAGCCCTCTCAATCTTTGAATCTACTTTTACTCTTAATATAAACTTATAAGCAGTCTCAAAGTACTTTATTGTTTTTCTCTTTTTAAACTCTATTCTCAACTATCACATCTTTTTTATTATTTCTCTGTTTTTTATCACGATTTTTTTTTTCTTCATCTCTTTTTTTCATCTCATTTTTTTCGTCTCCTTTCCTTTCTCTTTTTTTTATCATATGATTTTTCTCCATCCCTTTTTCCAACTAGTTATTTTCGTACATATCTTTTTTTTTTTAATTCTCTTTTTTCGTTCCATATATTTTTTGTCTGAATCTTTTTCTTTTCGTCATCCCATTTTTTTCAATTTCGTTTATTTTTAGTTGCATTTCTACCCGAATTTCTATCAATTTACATTGTTTAATTTAATCGAATAAGTAATTCTTAGTATCTATCATGATATGCAGCAGAGTTCTTCTAGTATCACACGTTTACATATGCTTTCTATGACAACCGTAGCACGTTAAAACATTGTGTGATAAGGCCAATTCCATCCCTATTTTTGAAATGGTATTGGCTTTGTTTGGCGACTTCTCTTAGTATATGAAGCTTATTCAGCTTAGTTACTTCACAACTACAACGATTAACACAAGATAAAAGTTCCAATGACTTAATAATTTTGCAGCTACACAATGACAGCTTACGAGAGATAAAAAGAATACGCTTAAACGTACAGATAGATTTCCTTTTGCTATTTTTCAGTCTCTTTGTTAGTATCAACCTGGATCCTTCGACGTGCATTTCTTAGGCCAGTTATTAATGTCATTCCCTCCAGATCATTTCACCTTTGGTTTTTAGGCTCTTTACTGTATAAGTGACAACCTCAATCTCTTTAAGCACACTTGTTAGGCACGCGTTAAGTGTCTATCTGAAGTACTTTACACACATTTTTTAGTTTTGTTATAAGTGATTACTTGTAAGATTAAAATCCTACTCTTTTTAGACTCACACCAAATTAAACACCGTATTCTCCTTCTCAAAATATTCAAGCATGTGCTATTAAACAGAGCGTTTTGAGCAAAACGTTTCTGTATATCTTAACCATATAGTGATATTAGCACATGCCTAATAACGATATCAAATACTGAAATACCAAAGCAGATGACAATTTCGACGACGTGTAACATAAGCGTATATAGCTTAGTAATTCTGTTATCATCATCCAGATACAAGGGATTATGTGTTTCCTACCAAACACAACGGTGTCAAAAGTTCAAACTAAAACGTTGTCTTAAAGTTTACGAACTCACCTTGGCAAATATGTATATATATATACATATATTGTGATCCAATTATGTTGGTATATGACAGATACATATATTATGCAGTTTAAGTACCTAAGTACTAGTGACAATCGTTTGAGAAAACTGTCAGTACTACCAAATGCATTTGAAGATTTCAACCATTTCATCATCTTCAACAGCATTCTTCTTTTTGAGTCAGTCGTCCAGCTTCATCTAAAGAACACTATTCATCACCTTCAATATCAATGACTTGAATCTCTAGTTCTGAATCAGCAGCAAAATACTATTTGTCACTATCATAAGCCGTAATAATTAGTCCTAATGGTGTTCGGAACATACATAATACCGGCTAAATTTTGTTACCATTAAGATTTGCATCAATAGACATGGCACTTAGCGATTAACAAAATAGAAATGCCTGATGTTCTACATAATAACTTTCAAGATTGTTTTAGCTGACCTAACGATGAGAATGAAGGCTAAAACTTGAGAAGATTTAACATATCTACTGAGGGTATAACGCGACAATGATTTATACACATTACTGTAAATCTTAAATCTGTCCAGCAGATGTGACGATGACGCGTAGTATATATAACAAAAATAAGCGAGGAAAATAATGGACAAATAAAAAAAAAACTGTTATAGGTGGAAGTGGATATTTTAAAGAAATATGTTTTTATATATGTGTTTTAATAAATTCAAAAACGCATTGAAAAACTGCGCCCGAAAGTTAAAATCATGTGATAGCACGTGAAAATCACGTGATAACACGTGATTTCAACTTATTTAATTAAAAAAATAAAAAATCCAAATATTGTACCTAAGGCGGCAGACCTAGTCGGTTAAGCGCGACTGACGTAAGACACGGGTCTCCTAAGGGTCGTGGGTTCGGATCCCAGCGTCGCCTTCTTTTTTTCGGAGATCAAGCATGGTTTATTGAAACTCCTACTTAATTATTGAGAATTAATTTACACTCATTTCATAAATTATTTGTACACTGTACAAAAAAGTTTGCTCAGTCTTTTTTATCAGTTTCGGCACATTTTTTTATTTTTATTTTGCTCCCTTCACAAATTCGTTTTTGGTCACTTCTTGAAAAAACAAATTGCGGACTTTAACTCTTACATCCCAGACGGATCACGAAAATATATATAACCTAATGGACCTTCGTATTTATCAGGAAGATGGACATGGGAATACTGTGGATGACTCTGGAAATGAACTTTTTGAAATGGAAGAAGACATGGGCAGTTACCCACTCGCTGACACTGTTTACTTAGATAGTTACATGGAATTTAAACGACCTGAAAACCCCGAGGCCTTAATTAAAGCCAACAAGATCGTTTCTACTCCAGCATCAGAACTAGTTTTTTAATACCAGAGACATGGAGACGATGTCAAGTGACATTTTCTACCTTGAATATGAAGAAAGACTGACTGCCGGTATAGCAGAAATGCAGCTAGGTCTGACACGTAGAATAGCTTACGATTGATTGAAAAAAGACTAATATTATATTGTTAAATTGCGGATGGATGGGAGCCGGAAAAAAAATTCAAAAAGAAAGTTGGTAGACCTGCTTTATTGAATGAAGAGCAGAAAAACCATTTAGAAGTAGCGTTTATCGATCACCTTTCTGCAACTTTGGATCAGGCAATAGAACGTCTTACCAGCCTGTTCAATGAATTAAAGGTTACCGGAACAACTATTTACCATTTCATGATGTAGAAGTGTTCTTTGTCATTTAAAAAACTCACTTTCATTAAAAAGAAAGAAACTATCCGTTAAGCTTTGAGAAAATATACGACAATGTTAAAGGATGGATTCAAACCGGCATGGATTATAATAGTAATTGTGGTTTCTTCGACGAGTCCGCCTTTCACATCAATTGGAAGCAAACAATGGCTTGGTCTAGTGCACGGAATGAAGATCGAAACTCCCGAGCGAGCTTCGATCGTGTTCCAGTCGATGCTCGCTCGAATGCGTTTTTTACAGCTCGAGCTCCCTCAGAGTTTCTTAAGCTCGGCTTGTTTGCAAATACGATAGCTCGAACTCGCTCGCCCTTTTTATTACACAAAGTGCACGTCCAAGTGATGTTAATTACAGAAAGTTTTGATAGTAAAATTGTCATTTATGGAAATAGATGTTGGAAAAAGAAAGAAAAAACTTTTTTTTCAGGAGCCATAAAACCAAATTCAGATACTTAAATCCTAAATATAATACAGTTGGATTTGTGAACATGAAAGTTTAAATTAATTCTGCTACGTCATGTTACTATGATTGCTGTAAAAATTTGGCTTAGTTGGGTTAAGTCTGCAACACTGTATCATTTTTTTTACTACTTGTGTATGTTGGTTATACAATTAAATAAAAGTCTAAAGCATTTTAGTTGGAATTATTAGAGCATAAATAAAAGGGAAGAAAAGATTAAAATCAGGTGGAAATGCCATCACTGGTCTTTCAAGGACCTTAACTTTAAAGTAACTACTATCGACATTTTAGCCGAGCGAGCATCGCTCGAAGCTCGCTCGAAACCAAAAAAAGGGGCACAAGCTCGAGTACAAAAACTCGGTTCGAGCTTCGTTCGAATTGGCGCAAGATCGGTGCAAGTTCGAAAAGTTCGAACACTAGTCTAGTCATAAGAGCTTAATATATAAAGTAGAGCACTCAACAATTGAATACTCTTAATAAAGACATTAAAGCTCTAGTACTATTTTTCGAGAACGGACATTATAATAACAATTACAAGATCGTGAAAAAACAGATCAAAGCCCAAATAATAAAAGTCACTACCATACAGGACGGATTTTGTTATTTCTTGTAAACTTTATTAAAGACCGCATTATGCATCCCCAATTAGTCTGATCTAGTGTTTATCGTGATTGTTATCTTGTTCTCATTCCGCATGTTACATGTACAAAAAACTCTCTGAAATACATGTAATAACATTGCTAGTCAAATGGTTTTATTTATTCCGTGAGATTTACATACGCGTTGTATCCAAGAGGAATTCAGTTTCCCACACCAATTTTTGTGTCACCACCAATTAAGGTATAAGTTAAAAATTGCGCAGCTCTATTTCTGGTTTTTTTTTCACTGTTATTTTTTTTTTCTTTTTGTAAAAACGGCCATGTCACGAAAAAGCATTCGATCTTCCGCAGCGTCAACATTTGTTCGTAATCTCCATTCACTTGGTTTCAAACCACCGCGCAACAGCAAATGGGTTGTCAATCAACAAACATTTACAGTCAATGCTGACAGTATTAAAGCATTCGAACATGTCAGTTATTTCCTGTTCAGTATTCTTGACAAAAAGAAGGTAAAATCAACCTTTAGGGAAGTTTGGCCTATTACAAACATAGAAAAATCACGCGAATACCGTCGACTTGCTTTTAAATGGTTAAAGGATATTCAACCAGGTACTCATTTAGTGAATGCACCTTTAAGAGTAAGCTATTTTACAGATTGTCGGGGAAAACCCTTCAACCAAATCATCTCAGCTTTCACTGCTCTTGCGATGGACAAAAATCCAAACTATAATACAGGTAAGTAAGAAAGAAAGCGCAAATAAGAATAACCCATATACGAGACTGATGCTTTTTCTGCTTTGCTTTAGATGTTGCTACGAACGATTCATATTCAGCCAAAACAGCCCAAGATTCTAAGCCACACACAGCAGGCAAAAGATCTACAATAGACCTTCCTCTTACAACTGAAGTGTTGCCTCGAAAGAAAACAAGAACACAGTCTCCAGTGGATTTACCCAAATCATCTTTGAATGCAACACCACGGACATGCCCCCAAGCAGTATCACATAGTCATCCATTACAAAATTTACCGGCCCTTCTTATATCCGTGCCATCTTCTTCCAAACCAAAAACATCACCCACCTTTAATCCACATACTCCATCAGGAGTACGTTCTTTAATATCATCATCATTACCATCATCAAAGGATACAGCATCATCCCGAGCATATCAAACACCACCATCAAACACAGATGTTTTATTGTCTTCAAAATCTGATGAACTAGCATCCTCAACAAATAATCATCTGCCACACCCAACAGAATCTCCTTTTCCGCCGTGAACAGAATCTTCTTCGTCGCCCTCAATAGAGGCTCCTCAACGCATTCTACCTCCTTTCGAATATATTCGATTCTCTAGCTTCATGGAAACAGTGCGACAAGAGGAACTCCCTTATAACGAAGAACGAGCTCGTAGAGAGAAAGAGCGATACAAAATTGAAATTCTCCATAAATTTCTTTTAATGTACAAGTAAATTTCGCACGTATTTAAACAGAAATAAATGCAGTATCCATAAGTCCCCCAAAAAACCGTAAAAAACAGGCAACCTTTATCAAATAGACCCAATAAACGTATATTTTAATAAATAGTTTGTAAAGAATGTTTGGGATGGAGATAAAATGTAAATTAAGGTAACAAAAGAAAATACTGTTAGAACTTTGTATATCTTTTATTTCGAGAAAATTTAGATTAAGGAATTCTACTAGCAAAAACTACAGGTATTTATACTAAATGATTAGATGGCTTTCGGATAATATATGTGACGCGTTAGAGGAATATGATATAATGTTATACGTAATGTCTGTTTAAATAAATATGTTATGAAGTAATTTCTGTCTTACAAAGTAAAGACAAAAGTACGTGAGGATCTAAATTCATCTCCGCAGGTGACATTACGTAAATGCCAAAGAGAAAGTTTAGTGCGTGCAATATTCAGTGACCGAATATTCCGCCTATGGGATTGTACTATACTTTTATGGTATTATAATATTTTACTCGCCACAAGGCAAATCACCTTGTGCACAGACATTAACGGTTCTGATGATAACAGATGGGGCGAAGTGTGAGCCATGAATATTTATACATGATCATCCATTATTATGTAAAATGTGATGATTCTTTTATTATAATCTATGAAATCCTCAACAAAGAAAAAAATTAATATCTCGTTCGACCACCACGAGCATCAATTACAGTCAGACATCAGTTTGTCATAATCAAGATTAATTTATCTGCGAGCTCAATAGACAAGTTCTCCCGTTCCTCCTTAACAATTGCCGTTAAACTTTTGACATTGTTTATCAATGGTCTTCTTTCACGTACTTGCAATTCAAAATCCTAACGAAGATGTTAGATGGAATTGGGATCCGGGCTTTGAGCAGGCTAGTACTCAAAACCTCTGTCTCAGTGGCTTTCTTTCTACCACTTAGCATACGCCCCAGTATGACAGATGGCCCCTTTTTCCAGTATAATAAACCTTCTATTATCATTGTTATTTAAGTTTTTGAACCAAGAGTGAATAACACCTGCTGAAATATTGATACACTTGTCTTGATCAATAGTGCTGTCAATGGTCGTCAAAAGTCCGAAACCACCGTCCCAAAAACAACCCCAAATCAGTATCCAACCTCGGCTCCACTTCACTGTTGGAACGATATCATTCTCGAAATATCTTTCTCCAGTTTTACAAATTGCTCGCTTACCCCCATCATTTCTTGTAATAGAGACACATGACCCATCAGAACAAACGACGCTTCCTCCACTGCTCCATGTCCCTATTGTCAACAAATTTGACCCAATAAAGCCGTTTATTCTTGTGTTGCTCCGTAAAACGTAGCTTGTAAGCCGCGCGAAAGGATCCAAAGCCCATATTTTCCAATCAAAAGATAACCGTTATTCTCCACACAATAATGGTAATCTTTCAAATCCGTTACATTTAAGCCTCAACTTATCACTCTCCATAGAAACAAAAATACTTTTGAGGAGTATCACGCTGATCTTTGGGAGCGATATCTCTATTAACAACATTGAATTCATATAAAACTTTAGACAATATGGATAAATAAAATTATCTGTGTAATTTGCTTTGACCAGACATTTTTAAATTGTTTATTAGGAGAAGTAGATACCGTTAAGTATGTTTTGGCCCAAACTATTTCTATATTTTATGAGATTTCATATGCTAATTCTTTGTTTCGAGGGTGAAAAGAGACTGTCCACTTTTCTTTTAAAACATTATTATAAAAATGGTGAGCTGGTAATTATTTAATGTTGTGCTCATTTGACTTACAACCATTATGAAAAATCCAAAAATCCCAAGTAGAAAATAAGACCGAGTAATAAACAGGTTGCCAAAAAGGAGCTAAATTTTATTGAACATAAAAATAATGACTTCTTTTAAACATAATGAATACGACTAGAACTACAACCGGGACCCTGCCACCGTGTGTAGATTATATCCAAATATTGTCCAAGCTGTCAATAAGCCCGGAAAGAGCAGTAAGGATAATATAGTATTAAAGCCGTACTTGAATAGGCTTTCGGTGTTACGTGAACTCTGAAATTACCAGCTGACATATAATAAATACGACAGCATTGAAAATACTTCAATTGTCGTAGCACAAGCAAATTACCTTAGTTAAAGTGTATTTAAAGCTCGCATACAACATACATTTTCGTTATCAGAAATGTTCGAAAATTTGTGTTTCATCTAAGTAAAGGGTACAGCATTGTAGTCATCTTCGCAATATAACCTCCAAAGCAAGCTCCGATTACAATATATATCTAAGTGGGACATCAGAAAAAGACTTCAAATTACGACCCAGATCATTACCTCTTCTACGTTTTCCAAAAATACACACAGGCTACTTCCAGTAAGGCAGATCCAAGTGTTTTTCATCCACGTCTAAAGAGCCAATTAAAAAAAATTATCATACACCTAATTTATATAAACGTAAACAAAGCATTACCTTTTAGTAACATAATTTAATTGTATCATAAATAGTAATACCAACAGAGCCTTGATATGATATACCCAAGAAGAATAGAATATAAAGTAAGATTTTTTTCTTGAAAGCATTACAGACACTGCAATTGCAGCGCAAACTTTAGTCAGAAAGAAGTAAGCTTCCAGACATACGCCGTTTTTCATAGAGAGTGATTCCAGCAGACACTTGACTTGATGTGGCCAATAAGAAAGCGGAACGAAAAAAAAAATTAGCACATAAGATACAACGACAGTGCAGTACATACTTCGGTCAGCAAGAGAGTTTTCAGACAAACGTAGCTATAGACTCAATCCAGCAGAGGCTTGACCTAATTTCGCCACTTTGAAAGCGAAGCTCATAAAAATATGTCTTTTTTTTCCTTGAGCGCATACTACTCCAGTCACTACCAAGCAAGCTCCATGTCCTGAGTGTTCCGCTACCCTCCAACATTCTTTATAATGTTGGGACAAGATCTCGGTATACTACTTAGGCCCGATACATTGTCGGTGCCCTTGAAACTTATTAATACAGACCATTGAGCTATTACGCTGCATAAGCCAATACTCGTAGAGACTGATTCCAGCATAGTTTTGATTTGATGTCGCCATTAACAAAATGGAACGACAAAAAAAACATTTTTCTTCTTAATCGCATGCGAGTCACAAGCAGTGGAGTAATTACTCGTCATCAACAAGCAGAATACTAGGCATAAACCGTTTTCTATAGATAGTCATTAGAGTAGAGCCTTGACTTGATGTCGCCATTAAAAAAGTGAAATGATTAAAATAAAAGTCTTTTCTTTCGTGAATGCATACAACACCAAACCAGTACAGTAATTACTCCAATAAGAAACAAGCGAGCTTTCACACATACGTAGCTATTTATACAGAGTGATTCCTGCAGAGACATAACTCAATGTCCTCATTAAGAAAGCGAAACGAATAAAAAAAGGATCTTTTTATTTATGGAGCGTATAATAGACACAACCAGTGCATAACAAACTACAATAGGCAATAAAAAAATATTCTGGATTTACGGAATTATTCGAAAGGGTGAATCATGCACATTGATTTGATTTTATCGTTAAGAAAGGGAAGCAGATAAAAAACAAGACCCTTCATTATCCTTCTTTTCGCCTGTTATACGGGCCTACGTTTTTGTCTTAAAAACAATAGTTTAACTATGTTATATTTAGTTAAGCGTTAATATCGAAATACATTACAGTAAGGACTACAACGTATTACTTGTAGTTATAGATAAATAGCCTGTTACATGCCTATTGTGTCAGGTATGAACAATATCTGGTAGTAATTTCCAGAATACACCGTTGGCATTCACCAACAAACTCGTTACTATAAAAAGAAAGAAAGAGGGTTATATTTTTTTTTGAAGAAACCAACATTAATGCTCAAACTCTTCCATGAGCTCCAATTTCAATTGTACCATCACTAAGGGAGCTTCTTCACGTGTTTGAACCTTTTCCACGTCTGTCATTGAAACTATAACATGTTGTATGCGAGCTTTGAATACACCTTAGCTAGGATAATATTCTTGTGCTACGACGATTGAAGTATTTTCACTGCTGTCATATTTATCATTTGTCAGCTGGTAATTTCAGAGTTCACGTTACACAGAAAGCCTATTCAAGTACGGCTTGTGTATTATATTCTCCTTACCGCTCCTTGCGGGTTTGTTGACAGCTTAGAAAATATTTGGATATAATTTACTCACTGTGGCAGGGTCCCGCTGGTAGGTTTAGTTGTGTTCATTATGTAAAAAAGAAACCGTTATTTTTATGTTCAATGACATTTACTGTAGTTCCTTTTTCACAATCTGGTTATTACTCTGTGTTATTTTCTATTTGGAATTTTTCGATTTTTCATAATGGCTGTAAGTCAAATCATAACAAGATTAAATATTTACTAGCTCATCATTTTTAAATCATGTTTATAAAGACTAGTGGGGGTCTCTTTTCACCCTGGAAACAAAGAATTAGGATAAAAAATCCTATGAAATGTAGAAATAGTATGTAACAAAAAATAATTAACGGTATCGAATCCTCCTAAGAAACATTCATAAATATCTGGTCAAAGCAAATTACACAGATAGTTTTATCCTTCCATATTGTCTAACGTTTCATATGAATTCTACTTTGTTGATAAGGACATGGGTCCCAAGGACGAGGGTGTTGTTCGACAAAATTAGTTTTGTTTCTATGGAGAGTTATAGGTTGAGGCTAAAATGTAACGGTTTTGAAAGATTGGCATTATCGTGTGTGGAATAACAATTATCTTTTCATTAAAAAATATGGGCTTTGGATCCTTCTGTGCGGCTCATACGCCACGTCTTACGGAGCAAAACAATAAAAAAGACCTGATTGGGCCAAATCTCACATCAATTGGACCATGGAGCAGTGGAGAAGCGTCGTTTGGGCCAATGAGTCATGTTTTTCTATTACAGGAAATGATGGAGGTAAGCGAGCAATTCGTAAAACTGGAGAAACATATTTGGAGAATCATATTGTTCTAACGGTAAAGTGGAGCGGTGGTGGGATACGGATTTGAGGTTGTGTTTGGGGCGTTGGTTTCGGACTTCTGACGATCATTTATGGCCCTGTTGATCAACACTCTTGGTTCAACCACTTAAATAATATTGGTAATAGAAACTATATTATACAAGAAAACGGAACCATCGGTCATACTGGGTCTTATGCTAGGTGATGGAAAGAGAGCCATCGAATCAGAGGTTTTGAGTACTGGCCTGCTCAAAGCCTTCATTTTGACCCCATCAAACATCCTTGGTGGGATCTTGAGCTCAAAATACGTGACAGAAAGACGTCGATAAACAATATACAAAGTTTAATTGCAGTTGTTAAGGATGAATGGGAAACATTATCTATTGAGCTTCCAGATAAATTAGTCCCGAGTAGGATAAACCAATGTCAGACTGTAATTCGTGCTCATGGCAGCCCAACTAAATATTAATTTTTTTGTTTACTAACTATTTATTCAAATATTACTTTATTGGGTCTATTTTAAAATGCTCCTAGTTTTTTGCGGTTTTTTGGGGGACTTATGGATGTTGCATTGATTTCTTTTTAAATTTGCGCGAAATTTATTTGTACTTTAAAAGAAAATTACGGAGATTTTCAATTTTATAGCGCTCTTTCTCTCTACGAGCTTTTTCTTGCTTATAAGCGAGTTCTTCTTGTCGCACTTTTTCGATAAAGGTAGAGAATCGCAGATATTCCAAAGGAGGTACGATGCGTTGAGGTGCCTCTATTGAGGCCGACGTAGAAGATTCTGTTGAGCACGGCAAAGAAGTTTCTGTTGAGCGTCGCAGATGATTACTTGCTGAAGATGCTAGTTCAGCAGATTTTGAAGATAACAAAACATCTGTGCTTGATGGTGGTTCATAATATGCTGCGCATGATGCTGCTTCAATTGATAATGATGATGATGATATTAAAGAAGGTTCTTCTGACGGAATTTGTGATTTAAAGGTGGGTGATGTTTGGGGTTTGGAAGAGGAAGGTACGGATGCAATATGTGTTGGCGATTGTGGTATTGGTGGACTTTGTGATAATGCTCGAGACCGTGTGGGTGGTGTTATATTTAAAGATAGTTCCGGTAAATCAACTGTAGCTTGTGTTCTTGTCTTCTTTTGAGGCAATACCTCAGTTGTACGAGGACGGTGCATTGTTGATCTTTTTCCTGCTGTGTATGGCGTCGAATCTTGGGTTACCATAGTTGAATAGGCATCGTCCGTAGCAATATCTAAAACAAAGCAGAAATAACATAAATCTCTGTGCTGCGTTATTCCCATTGTTTTTTTTGTTTATTTGTTACCTGTATTACGTTTTGGCCGTTTGTCCATAACAAGAGCAGTGAAAGCCGACATTATTTTCTGGAAGGGTTTACCACGACAATCTGTAAAGTAGCTTACTCTTAAAGGTGCATTAGCTAAAGGAGTACCTGGTTGAATATTCTTTAACCATTGAAAAGCAAGTCGACTGTATTCACGTGATTGTTTTATGTTTGTAATGGGCCAAACTTCACTAAAAGTTGACTTTGCCTTCTTTTTGTCAATTCTACTGAACAAGAAATAACTAATATGTCCGAATGCTTTAATACTGTCAGCATTGCCTGTAAAGGTTTGTTGATTGACAACCCATTTGCTGTTACGTGGTGGTTCGAAACCAAGTAAATGAAGATTACGAACAAATGTTGATGCTGTGGAAGATGGAATGCTTTTTCGTGACATGCCCTTTTTTTCAAAAAAAAAAAAATATAACAGTGAAGAAAAAAAAATTGTAAATTAAGCTGCGCAATTTTTATCTTATACCTTGATTGGTGGTGACACAAAAATTGGTGTGGGAAACTGAATTCCTCTTGGATACAACGCGTATGTAAATCTCACGCAATAAATAAAACCATTTGACTAGCAATGTTATTACATGTATTTCAGAGAGTTTTTTGTACATGTAACATGCGGAATGAGAACAAGATAACAATCACGATAAACACTAGATCAGACTAATTGGGGATGCATAATGCGGTCTTTAATAAAGTTTACAAGAAATAACAAAATCCGTCCTGTATGGTAGTGACTTTTATTATTTGGGCTTTGATCTGTTTTTTCACGATCTTGTAATTGTTATTATAATGTCCGTTCTCGAAAAATAGTACTAGAGCTTTAATGTCTTTATTAAGAGTATTCAATTGTTGAGTGCTCTACTTTATATATTAAGCTCTTATGACTAGACTAGTGTTCGAACTTTTCGAACTTGCACCGATCTTGCGCCAATTCGAACGAAGCTCGAACCGAGTTTTTGTACTCGAGCTTGTGCCCCTTTTTTTGGTTTCGAGCGAGCTTCGAGCGATGCTCGCTCGGCTAAAATGTCGATAGTAGTTACTTTAAAGTTAAGGTCCTTGAAAGACCAGTGATGGCATTTCCACCTGATTTTAATCTTTTCTTCCCTTTTATTTATGCTCTAATAATTCCAACTAAAATGCTTTAGACTTTTATTTAATTGTATAACCAACATACACAAGTAGTAAAAAAAATGATACAGTGTTGCAGACTTAACCCAACTAAGCCAAATTTTTACAGCAATCATAGTAACATGACGTAGCAGAATTAATTTAAACTTTCATGTTCACAAATCCAACTGTATTATATTTAGGATTTAAGTATCTGAATTTGGTTTTATGGCTCCTGAAAAAAAAGTTTTTTCTTTCTTTTTCCAACATCTATTTCCATAAATGACAATTTTACTATCAAAACTTTCTGTAATTAACATCACTTGGACGTGCACTTTGTGTAATAAAAAGGGCGAGCGAGTTCGAGCTATCGTATTTGCAAACAAGCCGAGCTTAAGAAACTCTGAGGGAGCTCGAGCTGTAAAAAACGCATTCGAGCGAGCATCGACTGGAACACGATCGAAGCTCGCTCGGGAGTTTCGATCTTCATTCCGTGCACTAGACCAAGCCATTGTTTGCTTCCAATTGATGTGAAAGGCGGACTCGTCGAAGAAACCACAATTACTATTATAATCCATGCCGGTTTGAATCCATCCTTTAACATTGTCATATATTTTCTCAAAGCTTAACGGATAGTTTCTTTCTTTTTAATGAAAGTGAGTTTTTTAAATGACAAAGAACACTTCTACATCATGAAATGGTAAATAGTTGTTCCGGTAACCTTTAATTCATTGAACAGGCTGGTAAGACGTTCTATTGCCTGATCCAAAGTTGCAGAAAGGTGATCGATAAACGCTACTTCTAAATGGTTTTTCTGCTCTTCATTCAATAAAGCAGGTCTACCAACTTTCTTTTTGAATTTTTTTTCCGGCTCCCATCCATCCGCAATTTAACAATATAATATTAGTCTTTTTTCAATCAATCGTAAGCTATTCTACGTGTCAGACCTAGCTGCATTTCTGCTATACCGGCAGTCAGTCTTTCTTCATATTCAAGGTAGAAAATGTCACTTGACATCGTCTCCATGTCTCTGGTATTAAAAAACTAGTTCTGATGCTGGAGTAGAAACGATCATGTTGGCTTTAATTAAGGCCTCGGGGTTTTCAGGTCGTTTAAATTCCATGTAACTATCTAAGTAAACAGTGTCAGCGAGTGGGTAACTGCCCATGTCTTCTTCCATTTCAAAAAGTTCATTTCCAGAGTCATCCACAGTATTCCCATGTCCATCTTCCTGATAAATACGAAGGTCCATTAGGTTATATATATTTTCGTGATCCGTCTGGGATGTAAGAGTTAAAGTCCGCAATTTGTTTTTTCAAGAAGTGACCAAAAACGAATTTGTGAAGGGAGCAAAATAAAAATAAAAAAATGTGCCGAAACTGATAAAAAAGACTGAGCAAACTTTTTTGTACAGTGTACAAATAATTTATGAAATGAGTGTAAATTAATTCTCAATAATTAAGTAGGAGTTTCAATAAACCATGCTTGATCTCCGAAAAAAAGAAGGCGACGCTGGGATCCGAACCCACGACCCTTAGGAGACCCGTGTCTTACGTCAGTCGCGCTTAACCGACTAGGTCTGCCGCCTTAGGTACAATATTTGGATTTTTTATTTTTTTAATTAAATAAGTTGAAATCACGTGTTATCACGTGATTTTCACGTGCTATCACATGATTTTAACTTTCGGGCGCAGTTTTTCAATGCGTTTTTGAATTTATTAAAACACATATATAAAAACATATTTCTTTAAAATATCCACTTCCACCTATAACAGTTTTTTTTTATTTGTCCATTATTTTCCTCGCTTATTTTTGTTATATATACTACGCGTCATCGTCACATCTGCTGGACAGATTTAAGATTTACAGTAATGTGTATAAATCATTGTCGCGTTATACCCTCAGTAGATATGTTAAATCTTCTCAAGTTTTAGCCTTCATTCTCATCGTTAGGTCAGCTAAAACAATCTTGAAAGTTATTATGTAGAACATCAGGCATTTCTATTTTGTTAATCGCTAAGTGCCATGTCTATTGATGCAAATCTTAATGGTAACAAAATTTAGCCGGTATTATGTATGTTCCGAACACCATTAGGACTAATTATTACGGCTTATGATAGTGACAAATAGTATTTTGCTGCTGATTCAGAACTAGAGATTCAAGTCATTGATATTGAAGGTGATGAATAGTGTTCTTTAGATGAAGCTGGACGACTGACTCAAAAAGAAGAATGCTGTTGAAGATGATGAAATGGTTGAAATCTTCAAATGCATTTGGTAGTACTGACAGTTTTCTCAAACGATTGTCACTAGTACTTAGGTACTTAAACTGCATAATATATGTATCTGTCATATACCAACATAATTGGATCACAATATATGTATATATATATACATATTTGCCAAGGTGAGTTCGGGAGGCCAAAATATATAGGACGAATATTGATTTACCAGTGATTAGTAATAGTTACACAGACATCCGGGTACTCGGAAATTTGCAAAAATTCGGGCGCTTCCGAAAATCGTATTTTCGGAGAGCTGCGATTAAAATTGACGGACTAATCTGCATTTGAAATTTTAAAATCGCTTTTAAGGCTTTTATAGAATGGGGATTAGCCGTCACAAAGTCATCCGCATATGTACACTAGAGGATTTTTTTATGCGCATCTGATGCACCTACTTTTAAATTTCTATCTTGTAAACTGAGCAACTAATCGCTATTTAAAGTTGTTAGATTGCGTCTAGGCCTTTCGCAGAACGCAAATTGCTTGTCACAACGTCATCAACACTTGCACACAGTACCTTTGATTTTGGCACACTCGATGCAAAACATTTGAAATGGTTATCGTTCAAATTGAGCTATTACTAGCTTCTTAAAACTTAATAATGCGAATATCTTTTTATTATTCACTTTTGCTTATCAACAAAGTTATTTCCATGTTTTTTAACTGGTTAAACAATCTTAGTATCCTTATTGAATAGAATTTTCTTGTCATTCAACAGGAACGTTATATTTACTAACTCTTTTTATGCGTTTAAAAATCGAGAAAGACCGTATAATATCCAAATTTTAATCGGAACTCAGTCATAATGTTGTTTCCAAATATTCTAGGTTACTCTAAACGTATTTTTAGACAAAAAATAATGCGCAAATGAGGTCTTCCAGCAAAATCTTATAAAAAGATAAAGACTAGTAATCCTTAACGTGTCCTTCTTGATTAAATTACGTGAAATATTTAAATGTCCTGGGCTATATTTTGGTTTTATCAAACGGCTAATGTCAGCATTCATCCAGCCAATGAAATAGTTCCGGTCCAACAATCCGGTACCGAAGAATTACTACGACGTAATGGAGCTCACGGGACCCAAAAGAAGATTCAAACCAAAATTAAATCCAGAACAACTAAGAAAACAAAGCTATATGTCATAAAACCAACAAGACAAAGTTATAAACTACTTTAGTTTGTAAAGCAATTACGTATATATGAAATAACAACCAAACTAGAAAATATGAATATCCCCATCGTATTTTAAATAGAACAGTATCTTTTATCTCATACTTTATTTTGTACCTGTACTTTAAAGAGTACTTCTTCTGGCCTATAAGAAAAGGCTCACGTGATTATCACGTGCTGTATTTTATTGTCCGGATTAAATTGACATTGCAATTTACACTAATCAATATGTTTCTTTGGTCGAGTGGTGAAACTTCGGATTATCGTAGACTCTGTCAGCGGTTCAAACCCTGGCATTTTGTTGTTTTTTTTCACTTTTTTAGTTTTGTTGGACGTTGATTTGTCATTTTTTTTTATGTGCGAATCAGTTTTATATTAGTAATTTAGTAATCGTATATATAATTGTGGAGTGTTTCGAGTTAGAGAGGATGAATACTATTAATGCCTTATATTACAGTTCTTCAGGGAGTACCACGCTGTTCTGTATAAGTATTTAACAGATAATATGGTAAAGAACTAGTAAAAAGAAAAAAGAAAAAAGAAATTAAAATTTGAAATGAAGTTACAGAGAAAAGAAAAGAGACTGGGCCTCGACTTTTTAGCGAGACAGACAGATAATAAGCGAATTCGTATAAATGATATAAGATTTGATACGCAGGACGTAATAAGAGTTTATGGGAATAATGTGGATAGAAAGCTGAATTGTTTATTTAGGAATAACGACTTGATGTGGCTATATAGTTCTTGTTTTATTTAAGAATCGGTAACGATACCCTGGAACAAATGGATAAGTACAACTAATGATATAACTACTAACTAACTTTAAATAGCAAAAGAGAAAATTGTAAGATTTTGCAACGCAATAATAAAAATTAGCTTAACAAGAAGTAAACTTCGTTGCGTGTAAATTTTTACGTTCGAAGTCAAAAATGTTGCTGTTAGAAATTAGCATTGTAACCGTAGTTTAGAGTTGTTATTTAAATGTAGTTAAATAGAATATTCAAAATACCCAGAAAGCTTATATATTACATTCTTAAAGGATCCCTGTATGAGTTTATACGAATATTTTTAACTACATTTGTTAGCTTGCCATATAATAAAAATACTTCAACATAATTCACCCAACAATGTAGACAAGAATGTGGCTAGTGTAAAGCCTACACTTGACATAGAAAATGATTAAAAATATATAAGTCAGTGTAAAAACCGTATTATTAGAATATTAGCTTAAATCAGGATGTCATTGGTGATTTTAGTGTGTGTATACACTAGTTTATTATGATAATGGCAATTGAACCGTTACCTTTTAAAAAAAGACAAAAACAATAATAGTAACGTAGTTTTTAAGAGGGTTTTTTTTTTAAAAAAGTTGGACGCAGTTTAACAAAAAGCTAAGACATAAATCCGTTGGAAAACAAGGACAGAAATAAAAATTAGGTTTCAAGTTTGTAAACATGTCTTGAAAATTTAGTATCGTAGCTACGCCTGCTTCTTTTCCTTACCATTCGTAATAATTATGGGACAAGAGAATAAAATGATACCTTTGATAGCTTAATTGCTTTTTACGAGCAAAAAATATATAAGAATGATCCGCCTAGTTCAATAGTTTGATATTGTTTTTTGTGGGATTATTAGTGATCACAATAGTATCAAATATTGTCGATTATGATCGTATAACGTGATTCGACTACGATAAAAATGGCTAAATACCACATCATCCTATGCGCAATTGATGTAACACTGTTTTTTTACAAAGATTTTTAATTGTGGGATATTCTGTTGGGATTAATTGTTACGTATAATCAGTTTTACTAAAAGATGTTTTAAGCAAGCAAAGCTGCCAAAGTGTTTTAAGTCAGTTATGCACGTATTGTCGAGTAACATAAACTTCAATAGTACCTATTAAATTATATATAAACGCAAGGGAACACAATGAAAAAGCACATTTACATATAAAGAAGTTAAATTTTATTTTTAAATTTTATTTTCTAGATGGTCTTGTGTTATGGCGTGTTCTTGGGATTGATGATTCTGCTGAAGATGGCGGTCTAATGTCTAAACGAGGTCGACCAACTGGTCTTGGTGCTGGTGCAACTGGTGCAATAGGCGTAGGTTCGCTAGCTACTACCCGAGTGCGTGATCCGGCGGGACGACCAGGGCCAGCGCCACTACTTACCCTGACCCGCTTATTTGGCCCAGCTGGTCTTCCAACAGGACGACGGGAAGCTGGGCGGCCACGAGAAGAGGAGCGACTACGGGAAGAACCAGATGATGCTGAAGAGGTCTCAACCTGGGAGGAAGCGACTGTTGCTCTAGTTGCTCTTCTTGTACCACTTGCTGCAGTTGCACTTCTACGCTGATTGTCTTGGCTTGCTTCTGGATTGGCTTCGGCTTGTTGAACGGGAAGATCATCTGCAGCAGATTCGTTCCACTCACCCATGTCATTGTCTTCGTTACCACTCCAGTCAGAATCATTACTGCCTTCGGAAGCATTACCATTGGACGAGTGACCTTCGTCATCACTGCTGGATGAGCTAGCATCATTTTCTGCTTCATTCTGATTGCGTCGAATCCAGGCAACACGACGAGATTCCAAGCGGGCTTCATGCTGACGTTGGCGCTCTGGAGAGAGTCCATTTTCCCCTCTTGTAAACAATTGCGGTACGTTAAGCTCTGCAGTTGGACCTACTATACCAGAAGGGTATACTACCTCCTTCAACGCACGATTCAACCCTTCCAAAACGCTTGGATTTTGTTTTTTCCACAGATACTCCAAAAGTTTCTCCGCACAATACTGTTCATTACGGTAGCAAGGAGCAATCGACCGTTTTAAATCCACCCACATGCCTTCAATAACATTGGTATGGATATACCCAGGCGTATGGTTACCCTTAACCTGATCCTTGGTACCAAAACTTTTTGAGTGATTGACAACTTGGTGTTGTCTGAAGTAATAATCACCATCTTGGTACCGGCCTTCGTTATTTTCGTAGGTTCCATCCTCCAAAAGAACATCAGGGGGATGCATAAAGTCATATCCCTTCCAACCATCTGAACGGATGACGGTATTTGGTTCGCAGTGACGTTCGATTATAGGTTTCAAGGTGGCCGTAGTACGGTTGGGCACGGTGCACACAAAAAATCGGCCAGCACGAAACAAAGGCTTCTTGTAAAAACGGCCGTTGGTCTTGGACACCTCCTCACCGACTTTAATGGCTTCCACCATACCGAACACCCAGACACCCTCAACGCGATGTCCTCGGTGGTGTTTACGTTTACCAAACTTTGATTCGTCGATCTGGATATGATCGCAATCAGGTGAAGAGCCTAGACGAAAGGGCATGTTTCTGTTGACGTAATCACAGAGCATAAGAGTATTGACGTCCTTGGTTAATTTTCCAACGGCAGGGAGAGATATCGTGTATCTACCATGAACTTTTGTGATTGAAGAGTTTTCCACGTATTGATTGAGACTGCGGTAAGACAAATCGATTCTAAGTTTTCTGCGATAAAAAAAGGTGTTCTTGGCAGCTGATTGATAACGTTTCTTGTGCGTATCGCTACTACCGTTGCAATGATAATAATATCTTCCACGATTCTCCCTCCACTTACGATACATGTCCTTTTGGCAACCCGCAACATTACACTTGAGATCAACCAATTGAAAAACACCGAGTTCCTCACCAACATATCTAAAAAACTACGAAGTTAGAATAAATCCCTTTTGTAACGGATTTTATTGACCTACCTTTCTGTATCCTCAGGTCTTCCTGATAAATGGTCTAATTCAGTTGCAATTACGTTAACGGGTACTCTGGAACGGTATGGGGCAACAACTTGACCGATCTGACGACCTCTGGGACGAGCAGGAGTAATTGCGTTATCTTCGACATGATCTCGAACAAGAATTGCTGAACTCATTTTGAAATTACTAACAACGGAAGTAAGGTGCAATTGGTTATTGAAATTGGGTGGGA